ACTCGAACTACATGATAATCTATTCTTATGGTTAGTTTTTGTAAAACAATGTGTTTTTGTTTATCTGTAAAACGCCAAGAGCGTATCGAATAAAAGAAAATGAAATAAAGTAAAATAAAAAATATTCCTGATATCCATTGTGTCACGGTGGGATATAGTCCGTAAGATGACAAAATACATAGCAATTACCAAAAAACGTTCTTTTCTAGAAGACGCACCCTGCGGTAACACCAGCTTCCAGCTGTTTTTGCATCCAGTCCTTCCCAGAACCTTGCATGTCCAATCTAAAAAAGTCTTTCTTTCTGTAGTAAATGTCATATTTACAGTTTTGAAATCGAGACCAGACTAATGCGGTAAAACTTACGTGTAACATTTGCCCAAATTAGTCAACCTTGCCTTCATGTGCTGGCAGCAAACGAATTGTCGTCCGCCAAATGAACAAAGTTTCATTGTTTCCTCACATGAAAATCTGGAAGTAAGCTTTTCGCGAATCTCCATATTTTCTCATCTCGCAGGAGAAGCAATTAGAAACTAACCCAGCATTCAAGAAGAAGTCCCTAACGGTAAAGTTTGGATGAGCCGACTGGTATACCTCGAAGGCTTTTTGACCTGTAACGCTCTTACCAATTCATGCGATCGAAAAGAATAACACAAACATCACAGCCGCGTACTCCAAAATTGAAGCGAGACCAGCTTCAAACATAATCTGCCTACCTACATGCAAAGTCTCTCGATCAGCTGTTCCATAAAGCGTGTTGGGATCAATCAAGAATTCCATAAGATAGTCGAGTAGATCGTCAGAAAAATCACCGGTTTTATTTAATTCTGCAAAAATACTGAAATAAATAACAGTAATGGTTTGTCATGAATTTTTGAAATCTTACTGGCTCATTCTCGCCTAATATTGCAAAAAAGGTGAAAAAATATCATAAATAAGCGTAGTTGGCAAGTGAAGTTTACTCCCACAAAAGTTCAAAGTCGTGAAAATATTTTACCACCGCGAGTTTTGATATCTCAACTCCTAAAAACGTGAGCAACTCACTCTTAATGTAGGTTTTCTTTATGGGGTTGAAATTACACAATGTGATCATCGGAAACTCTATCCCATCATCTTTGATCAGGAAAGAAACCTAAATGTATAGTGTCTTGATTTTATGATTTAATTTTTTCTGTCAAAGTTTCAATTTATGGGCTTTTCTGGGGTTCTTACGGAGTTCACAATCTTTAAAAAATGTAATCCGCAGTATTATTTACGGTTCCAGCTCTAAGATTGCTGCTAATATAATAAGGCAAACATAGATCTGTGTTATGGTCATACTCTTCTCGTATAGCGTAGTGAGTAAAGAGTATGAACTGATTCCATAATAGAAAAAGGAGCATATCACAAAGAGAATTCTAGAAAAAAGAAGAAAAGCCACGCCCACCTGAGATACAGTAGGATGGCTAGCATACATCGATCCAAGAGTTACCACTTGCGTAACTAATAATATCATTGAAGTAAACATCATAACTATCCAGAAGACAAACGAGCATTTCTTTCCATAATAAATACGTTTAGGACCATGTAAAGTGGTATTGTCTGAAGCGGTTTCGCCAAGCATTAGTTGAAAAATTCAGGACTTCTTAAAGGTTTCTGTCAAGCTAACCTGAAAAATGTTTAGACTCCCGCTTTATCGAACTGATTGATTCTGTTTCGTTGATTTTTCTCAGGTGAGCTGCAGGGACCTCCAAGATTATTTGTGAGGCGCGCTTCTTCAGCCAGTTGGTCTGATCGAATATCGAACCACGGGACTGATACCTAGTGAACGCAACAATGTTTACGTCAGAAGAAGATTACACTCCTTCTAGGGAGAATAAAAATCAGATAAACTGACAGAAAGAATTTCTGAGAAATGGAATTATGTGAGAACTGTTCAAATAAGTTGTTACGATCCTTTCAGCTGACCTATTATCTGATGGTGGTGCCAACAAAGTAGGAGTGCTCGGAGTTGATGAATTTGAGTTTCTATTTTTACTAGGAGAGTTGGGAGAAGACGATGGATCGTCTGGCAGAAAGAATGACACCTGCAAATGTTCATCAAAATGTTTCACATTGAAATTCTGCTCAAATAAAGTCAGCATTCAAGAGAATTTTTTCAAAGATGTTTTTAGAAAGTAGAAATCTTCTCACCCGGGATTCACCATTGGTGGGATTTTTTGTCAAATTTGAGTCGCTGGTGGTGGTGTAGGTTACTTTGGTAACAACCATAGAGTCAGTTTAAAACCTAAAGGGCGATTGGTAAGTCAACAAACAAG